GTGCAATGAATACCATGTTAGCGAAAGATGGCGGACGACTGCAAAACAGATCCGATCACTTTAATGAGAACTTCACATTGTTTTCTGGTGAACATTCTGGCCGGTCAGAATAAGACTCTGATTTTAAACTATTGATCGCTTGTTGGGCATAAGCGTCTTCAACCAGTAATTTGTACTTAGCCTATCCTGATGATGCCACGGTCTATGCAGCGAAACGCATCGGCAATAAACTGCTGTACCTTTGGCAGTGTTTTGTGAATGCCCTGAATCATGAATCGTTCAAACACTTATTTATATAAAATCACTTTTATTATATAAGAGCAACTCTGAAGGTCAACACTACGGATATTCAATGATTCAATCGCCCATTTGATCAGTCATTCCTTCTTTTATACCTCCAACCTTTAATTTATTCATTTACGTAGTCAGCCATTCATTCATGCATGCATTCATTCACTCATTGATTCTTTCACTAGTCTGTTCGATTAATTATTCATTCATTCGGAAAAAGACTTTAGACTTTATGTTCCGGGTTCGAATCCACTGAAGGAACAGCCTTTGCTTTAACTGCGTATTCCTTTGAGCAGGGAATCAAATTCATGTTACTTGAAGGCAAACCGAGAAAAGGGTGATAATTCGGTGACTTATGAAAAATAAGAACAGTAGTACTATTACGGTAGTCTGGCCTGGACATGCAAAAATGGACAAAGGTGGACGACCATGCTGTCCAATGTGATCTTCCACACTGGCTGCATTTCGCCCTGATTAACCCGATTGTGGGGTTCATCTGACTATCGATTGTGATAATCGGCAAAATTTCAACCAACATGACGATTTCGTTAGTTCAATCATCATTCATCTTTAATTCTGGCTATTCCATGTGACTAGCGAATGCAAACGCTATTTTCAATGGTTCCTCTAATGCTGAAACGGTGTAAGCTCCATGGACAGGATTAAAAGACACAAAGTGCCAGTCTACATACTGCTGAACCATCTGCAGTGTCTGGTGGCCTGAAATCGTTCAAACATTTATCTATATAACAATGGGCTCAGAATTAAAAGCCTGAAGTACTATTTGAATTTTTCTTTTTTACACTAAGTTTTCGCAATTTCAATGCGATATCGATACATTTTAATGAAGGAGAATCATCAACGAAAGACTTACATCAAAGAAATCGCATCCTTAGATTAGCTTGCAAAAGAACTTCAGGCCCATTACAACTTGTCGCAAAATACGCTCATTCCACTTTAAAAAATTAAACAGTTTTCAATACAAAAGAATACAGTATTAAAACTGAATTATAATTAAATTATTAAAAATTGCACTATTAAAAGAACTGTCCATACACATGACCATAAACAAACTGGTTGAAAACCAAAC